CACATGTTAAATTTTAATTCGATATGGCAACTCCTTCATATAGAAACAGGTGTACAAAATAGACGCATCCGCATTTTTTTACAATGAAAGCACGCATTTCTAATATTTCCATTGTTAAAAATTGCGGATGCGTCTTTTTTGTACATCTGTTTCTATATGAAGGTGTTGCCAGATCGAAATTAAATGAAATGTTGAGTTTGACATTTGTAAATCGACTCCAAATTTTCTGAAACATATTTGCTACAAGGAATCATGGGGTCTAAAACCAATATTACAATGAGGCACATTTTCCCCTCATTAGCCACACGGCTGAGGGCATACAAATTCGAATTAAGATATATGAGAGATATTTAAACAAGTAAAAACTTGGTTTTAAATACTCCATCATGAGTTGCACATTTAAAGTAATGTGCAACTCATTTGGTACCTTGAACATATGGCGGGTTAGGACATGTCAAATTTTTACTAGGAAGATTTGACAGGGAGCTTTAGTATCGAATTTCCGATAATAGTGGTTGAAAAAATTATTCGTGTTGCCATTTTGTAATTTAATGGTCTGTTCCCGTACTGCAAGAATCTACTATTTTTTACTACGATAGCAAAATTTCCTTTATGTTATCGAAGAAAATAGTAAAATCTAGTAGATTCTTGCAGTACGGGAACAGACCATAAGCTATAATGGTGTTGCCATTCAGGAAATATGAAATTTCGAATGTGAACATAAAATATTTGGATTAATTTAATAAATTTTCAAGTTTGTTTTGCGGTTTGTATTATTCGCTTGAAGATATGGATTCGACGTATTTGGGTAATACGGCGGTACACAACATTTTGCAAATGTGGGGAAGTTGAATTTTTCTGTACGCCCCGTCGGATTATCGGTAACGTTGTTATAGCTTTGTACAGCCCCAAGAGTTTGTAATGCCGTGAAATATTGGTCCTAGGCCCACCTTTAAGTATACCGATCGTCATATCTCGACTAGCTGAGGCGATCTGGACTAGTGTGCCCGTTCGTCTGTCCATTATAATTCGTAAATACGATACAGGCCACAATTATGGACAAATCATCACGAAATTTTGCATGCAGGATGGTTTCTGCCCAATGAAGACCGGTTAATATTTAGGGGATGAAATGGACCAAATACATAATTTTTGCCGTTTTTTTTTTCTGGTCGCTCCAGAGACCGTAATTATGTCCCCCACATCGCGAATTTTTATATGTAGAAGGCGATTGGGCAAAAGAATAAGCATGCCTGTTTTGATAAAGTTCGGTCATTTTAGCGGGTCAATGGACCCTGAATTTTGTGCGAAAAAATGACAAACTTTGTATTCTATGGCGCATATATATTTACTCCTGAAGGACATTGACCTGAGAAGTGGGCAGTATATCCAAGAGGAGTTGTTGGCCTTTAAATTGATGCACTCGGATGTGGGAGTTACTCTTAAATATTTACAGGTGCTTACGTATTCAGCTATTATTTAGTAACCCATTAACATTAGAGGGCAGAAATAAAGCGCTGATCCGTTTAACATTTTTCAACAGGTTCCAGCTATTGTCAAGTAATTAGCAGGGTTGTAATGAATATTGGAAATATTCGGAAAATATGTCATTGTAAGAAAGAGGTGCTGTTGATCTCCAATCGGTCAGGAGGGTGCATGAAATATTGCCGAGGCTCAAAACAAAAACATCCGCAGATAGTTAGAGTTCCATGATAGTTGTGTAGGGTATCGTATGATCGACCCTGTCCGACTATATTGCTCCGCTCACTGGTCATCCTTTTTTTCCGGAGACTGATCCTCACACAGAATGTCATAATACCGCCTCCATATTGCATCCGTTATCAATAGGAATTCTAATTGCATTTCATTTGTTTTTTAGTTAAAATACATATACATAAAGTCATTTATAATATTCAAAATAGTCTGATATTTTCATAAAAATATACTTATATTTAATTTATTAGCGAAAAAATCCCATAAAATGTCATCACATTCTCCCAAGCCTTGTAATCAAGAATAACTAATAGACATAGCGGATTTTTTCGTATTCAAACTTGATTCAGAACAAGGGGAAAGTGAGAAGGCGAAAAAATTCGCTGCGAGTTGTTGTTCACAATAACATTAAACGGAAGAGCGAAAAAAAATCACAGGGAACTGGTGCCCGGAATAAGGCTGATAGCCAGTTTGTTTAAAAACGTGTTCAATCTGCCAAAAATATTGAAATTTGGGAGGTATATGGGAGGCGGATGTGTTACCCAATGAGAACCCAAAATAGACAATTCGGTTGAAAACGTACTATATTGTGGACCGATATATCCAAATTTCAATACAAAATATCCCAGAGGGAAAAGCAATGCATGCGCAAAATCTCAAAGCTCAATCGATATAGAATTTTATTCTTGTGGAGTCTCCGGTGAATATTTCGAGGTGGTGCAAAAGAAATGGCAGATTTAATATGTACAAATTACAGGAAAATACGACTAGGAGAGCCAAATTACAGGAAAATACGACTAGGACCATGAAAATATTTAAATTATGTCAAACATGGACCTATATTGATAATTTTCTGCAAATATCAGCCTTATTCTGGATATTCACTAGGGAGAGATCTCGCTTGTGATTCTTGGGAAGAGCGAACAAATTCACGGCGAATTGATGTCCAGAATAAGGCTGTATATTATTTCTTAACTTTTTGTTTTCATCAGTTTGTATCGAAGCCTTTGTATAATATATGAATGGGCGAAAAACTTGGGACTACACAAAAATGTTTTCAGGAAAACTTTGAATTGAAAAATGTAAACAATAGTAAAAAAATAGAAACAATTAATTAAAAAAAAACTCATCCAATTTCTTTAAACACAAAACCTCATGAGAAAACAAATAGCAAACAAAAAAAAAGATCGTGGAGAAAAAAATAAATATGCCTTTTAATTGTTTTTGTTGTTTTTTGTATCATTTGTTGTTTTATTATTTTAATACACATTTAATTTTATCTGTTTTTTTGAATTGTTTCTTTGCGTTTTTTTAATTAATTAATTAAACTTAATGGGTTTTGTTTTTTATGTTTAGAATTAATATTAAAAGCTAACTATTTACAACATAATCATAAGATGTTTTATTTTTAGTTTAATATATATATAAAAAAAGTATATTATTTTCTTTTTTTTCTTCTGTTTTTTATAATTTTTGAGATAATTTTTTTTTTAAGAAAAAAAAAAAAAATAATAGTAATTAATTAAGAAGAGAAAACAGTTGAAAAAATAAAACTGCTGGCTGGCTAGCTAAGGTTCCCCCAAAGCAGCAGCTGCTGTTACGAAGCTCTAATGCAATTTTCTTTTAAATGGAATATAGAATTTGTTTTGCGATTTCTCTCTCTCCTTGTAAAGGGATAAAATTAAAATAAAAAGAAGCATAAACAAAAATAAGGCTTTATTTTTATTTGGTTGAAAAGAAATTTTAAATAATAAAAAACCAAAAAGAACCATTAGATTTTGTTTTGAATAATACATTTTTGTTTTTGTTAAATAACAAAATGTGTTTTATTTTTTCAAAATTATATAAAAAAAAGAAAATAGTTATTGAATAAAATAATAAACCAAGATCTTGAAAATAAGATCCTCTTTAATGTGATAATTATTTTGTAACATTATTATGTTGTTGTGGTATATAAATTATTATTTCAGCGTATTTCTAATAATTTTCTAAAGAAGAAAAAAATATAGTATTTGTATTTGTAATTTTTTTCTTTCTTTCTTATGTTTTTTTTTAATTTAGAGAGAGGGAGAGCGTTTATATATATTTTTTTGTTTTCTTTTCTTTCTTTAATTAAGTTTAATTTGTTGTTGTTTTTTTCTTTTACTTCATACATTGATTATTATTATTTGTATCATTATTATTATGTGTGTGTTTATTATTATTTTAGTTTCTATACATTGTTTTTATTTATTTTTAATTTAAGCATAAATGTAAGTTTTTCTTCTTCCTTGTTGTGGCTTTTTATTATTATTATATTTATATAATTATAGAATTTGTTTCATTATGTTGTTTAATATGTGGGTGGGGGAAGGAGGGAGTAGGGGGAGAGTTTTTATTTTATTAACATTAAATGATGATAAAAAAAATTAAAAATTACAAAAAAATCTAATTTTTTGCTGTTGTTGTTTCTTTTCTTTTTATTATTTTGTTTTTGTATATACTAAAAAGTGTTTGCTGTTGTTGCTTTGCTTTTGTTGTTTTTTTTTTTAATATACATACATATTTCTAGGCTAACACAAATCTTGTCTCATAAGAACTATTTTTCGAATATAAATTTGAATTTTGTTTAATTGTGTGTGTTTGTATGTGTGGCCTAAAGGTATTTATGTTTGTGTGTGTGTGAGTGTGGAGTAGATGTAAATTGTTTACAGAGTTTGAGAAAAAGGACTGAGTTCGAGCATCACTTTTGCCTTATTGCTTTCCAGCTGGGATTTTTTTCTGGCATTCTTTTCCAAAATCTGGCAATGGCCAAGGAAAATTTTGACCTTTCGAAATCCAATCCATTTTGGCCTACCCTTAAACTGGCATAAAAAACATAGCTCTTCGATTTGGGTTTCCATTAACTCCGTTTTTTTTTTCGCTTTCCTCCTCTGTAAACATAAGATTTTTTTTGGCAGCCTCCTTTTTTCTTCTTCTTTCTATTCCTTTTAGCTGTGTGGTGTTAATTTAATTTTATGATGAGTGTTGTATCGTTTTTCTTTCTATTATTATCAATATGCTGTTAAGTGGAATGGTATTTGTTGTTGTTGTGGTTTTTGTTGTAATTTGAAAAAAAATATAAGAATAAATAAATCTTTGTTTTTTTATTGTCAAAAGTAATCAAAAACAATAGCGCAACAGCAGTCATACAGTGAGTGGTTGTGGTAGTCGAATCGAAAAGTAAAGAGTAGTTTTTTCTAAGCTTAGACGAGTTGAAGGGCGATGCAATTCTTAATGCTGTTGCTTTGTTGTTGTTCTTGTTGTTGTTAGGCAACAAAGCTGTTGCTGCTGCTGGTGCTGCCGCCGACGACATCGCCATCTCTGTTGGCTCCGGTTGGCATTTAATAACAATTTCTCGGCCATTTGTTTCATATTTACATTGATGATGTTGCAGAAGAAATCATTCATTTTTTGTAAGACCCTAAATGGTAGTTATCTTGCCTCGTCTCACCTGTTGATTGTCGTGGTGTTATTTGTTGTTGTGACATTGTTGTTGTTGTTGCTGTTACTATTACCACCGCCATTCGATGATGAACTATTATTACTGTTATTACTGTTATTGGTTGTTACAGGACTACTATTGTTGTTGGTATTTTCAATTAAACCGCCGCCGCCACTATTCGCAGAAGAAGCCGTAACAGTTACCGATTTCAAATCGCTTGTTGAATTAATGATCGTCAAACCACTGCCATCATTAACTACTTGCTGTTGTTGCTGGTGCTGCTGTTCATTACTGCTGAGACTATTTGTTGAAACGGAAATAGTATTGGAATTAAGATTTCCCGCCGCCGTTTGTTGATTTGATGAGACAACCTGCACAGTGGTGCCACCACCACCCCCTGCACTGCTTGCCACTGTTACATTATTATTGTGATTACTAGCCGCTGCAGATGCCACCACAGTTGCCACCGGCACCGTACGCATATTGGCAAATATTTGATTATTGCCAATACGATTTCGCAGCACCGCATGTGCCATAGCTTGATGACCACCGATTTGTACCTGCATTTGTCCGGTATTGTTCTTCTGCAATTGTTTGACATTCACCAGACTTGTATACAAGACACGCTTGTTGTTGTTATCACCGGTAACCGAAACACCACCCGTGCCAGAGGTGGCTGTTATTGTGCCCGCTGTCGTGGCATTGGCATTACTACCATCCACCGATGTTGCCGCACCAATAATATTCAGAATACGTTCTCTTTTCAGTTTGCCCTGCTGTTGCAACAGTTGCTGCGACAGTAACTGCTGCTGCTGCACTGTGGCTTTGTTCAGCACCAATGTTTGCTGTTGTTGCTGTGGCTGAACATTGATGCCTCCTCCAGTCACCACTTGGCTGTTGTTGCTGCTGTTGTTGGCATTACTTGTGGTAGCCACAAAATTCAGCTTTAAATTTGAATTGCTTGCCTGCAGCTTCTGAGCAGCCGATTGCAATTCACTGGCATTGGTTATGGTGTAATTGGTAGCGGCTCCACCGCTAGAACTTGCGGTTAGATATATTTTATTACCACCACCACTGCTGCTGCTGCCACCGCCCTGTTGTTGTGAAGCCTGAGAAGTTATTATGGCTGCTGTGGGCTGTAAGCTGTAATTGTGATTGGCAGCAATAGCGGCTGCGGTATTGTGTTTTTGTTGTTGCTGCAAATTCACCTCCGATACCAGCAATGGAAATGATGATGGCATTTTGATAACTTTACCGCCACTGCCACCACCGCCAGTTGTGGTAACTTTTTGTATTTGGTGTTGTTGTTGTTGCTGCTGTTGTTGTTGTGTGGTGTATGTAACGCCGGTAGTTGTTGTTGTTTCCTGGCCACTCAGAGCATTCAATGTCGTTGTTAAGTCATCATCTTGTGATTGCTGTTGTTGTTGTTGCTGTAGATGTTGTTGTTGCAGTATTTGTTGGTGGGCTTGGGTGATTATTTTTCGTTGTGAGAATTTGCGGTTCAGCAACACCTTGTTGATATCTATAACAAGAAAAAGAAGATGGGGAAAATATTGAAAATATGATAAAAGAGGCTTAACAAAAATATTAAGTAAAAGAAATAATAAAAAAACGACTAAATATTTAAAGAAAAGATATATTAAAATCCGAACCGATTCCAACAAAACTTGATACACATTAGACTACACTAACTTCAGTACGTTGTGCAAAATTTTGTGGCAATGGGCCTAACTTCGGATCTTTGGTGAACCATTTACTTAAAATCGGACAAAAATGAATATGAGAGCTACATCTAAAACTGAACCGATTCCAAAAAAATTGCTACACGTTAGGCCATACTAATTTCAGTACGTTGTGCCACATTTCGTGCAAATCGAAAGAAATATAGGGGCTTTGGTGCATCACCTTTTACATAAAATCGTACAAAAATATATATGAGAGCTATATTTAAATCTGAACCAATTTACACGAAACTTAGCACACATCATTCTTTACTCAATTTAGAAGGCTATGCCAAAATTGGTGCAAATTGATAGATATATAAGGACTTTGTTGCACCATTTACATAAAATCGGCCGAAACTATATATGGGAGCTATATCTAAATCTGAACCGGTTTTCATGAAACTTAACACACATCATTCCAGAAAGTAATATAGGAGCTTAAGTACATAATTTACATGAAATCGGACAAAAATATATATTTAATATCGATCTTTAATATACCCTGCTCTATAACCTTTCTATATTGTTGATCAATTTGAAAAAAAGTAGAGTATCAAACTAGATCTTTGGCTCTGATTGATTTTGTTGCTAATTGTATATTTGTGAAATATGTTCAAATTCTAATCAAATCTTATCAACTATTGCAATTATCCATATAAAGAAAAGAAAAAAAAAACAACAATAATATCATGACTAACATATTTCCCCATACATAGACAGTTTCAATTTTAATCTTTGTTTATAAATAAAAAACATTGCACATTACTTTATAATTTGATAACAAAGCAATGCGCAGAGAAACAGCAGCAGCAAATATACAAAATTTATTTTACAAACCGTGATTGTTGTTTTGTGTCTGTCTAATGCCGAATCGATAAACAACAAAACTATGACGCATAATAACAACACTTCATGAACACCACAACCCGTCGATTTTTTAATGCGGAATATATATGGCGAACACAAGGGATTTCATCATAAATTTTATAGTACACTGAACTTTTGAGTTAAACGTTTTAATTTTTATTTTTTTTGATATATAACAACTCATGAATAAACAACAACAATAATGAAATAATGTAAATTATACCGAAATGGGTGTTAATTTGTTTTCCATCACTGACCTAAATAAAAAAGAACCAGTAAGGAAAGTTCAAAAGTTCCACTAGGCCGACTATATGATACCCTTCACCAACTTGGGTATAATCGGACGATAATCTATAAGAGAGCTATATCTAAATCTGAACCGTTTTTTACGAAACTTAGCACACATTCCTCCAGACTCAATTCATTAGTACGCCAGGCAAAATTTCGTGCAAATCGATGAAATTTTGGGGCTTTGGCACACTATTTACATAAAATCGGACGAAAATATATATGTGAGCTATATGCAAATCTGAACAGATTTTCAATAAACTTAGCCCACATCATTCTAAACTCAATGCAGTACGCTGTACCAAATTTCGTGCAAATCAAAAGTAATATAGGGGCTTTGGTACACCATTTACATAAAATCGGACGAAAATATATATGGGAGCTATATGTAAATCTGAAACGATTTTTACGAAACTTAGCACACATCATAACAGACCCAATTCAGTACGAAATGTCAAATTTATCTGAACCGATTTTTACGAAACTTAGCAAACATCATTCCAGACTCAATTCAGTACGAGGTGCCAAATTTTGTGCAAATCGAAAGTAATATAGGGACTTTGGTGCACCAATTACCTAAAATCGGACCAAAAAATATATATGTGAGGTATATATAAATCTGAACCGATTTTCACCAATTTCAATAGGGTTCGTCCTTGGGCCAAATGAATGAGCTGTACCAAATTTCATCCAAATCGGATTATAAATGCGACCTATATGTTGTTTACAATTTTACATCGATAGACGGACGGACGAAGGAATGGGCATAGTAGAATTGAGAATTATGTACGATTATTTTTAGTTGGGGAAAACTTTTTGGTTTTATATTTTTTATCGTTTATGTTATGTTGGCGTTATTTACATTTGTGGTTAACATAATCCTGCACATAAATGCATATTTTTTATCGCATATTAGAGTTTATTTATAATCCAGAGACCGACCACTAAGCACTTGAATTTATTCAACATGATTTATACTACTGTTATTATAAATCTCGATAATCTGAAAAATGTTTATAATTTCTTCTTTACCTCTCTAGAAAAGGTGGCCAGAGGAAACTATATTTTATAACTCTCTAGAAAAGTGGTCAGAGGAAACAATGTTATAAAATATGGGGAAGAACATTTCTTTTATCGATAGAAGATCTTCAAAATTACTTCTATAGATAGACTTCTATAAGTAGAATATCATCAAGAAGACTTCTATATATAGAATACCTTCAAGATGCCTTCTATAGCTACAAAAAATCATAAGTTCAAGAGCTCTTAAATAGCTAGAAGACCTGGAAGACTACTTGCATCTTTTATAGCTAAAAGAAATTCATGAGCACTTTTATAGCCAGAAAATCTTCAAGAGTTCTTCTATAAGTAGAAAGCCTACACATCTTGTTTAAGTAGAAGACCTTTCTTCTAAACAATAACATTTTAAACTAATAATAAAAAAACAATTTCATCTACCCTCACTTACCTGTACTTTCTGGACCATTCAGCTGACGCTTTTGAGCCGGTCGATTTGTCCATACTATCTTATTACCGGCACCCATTGTTGCTGTCACCGTACCATCGGCATTTGTTACAGCTGTTGTAGCGGCTCCAGCCAACACACCAGCCGGTGTAGTTGTTACATTTGTTGAACCGATTTGACGCCATACGATCTGTTGAGTCGGCTGCTGTCCGACCATTTGTTGTTGCTGCTGCTGGGTCAGCTGTTGGACGGCATTTCTTGCTGATGTGGTAACAATTAAGGGACCAGCCGTTGCATTGGAACCATTGCCAGTCGCATTGATATGCTGGACACCAGCTATATTCTGTACTGTCAATTGTTGTCCACTGCTAGTATTGATGATATTGACACCCTGACCGCTGCTCGAACCCAGAGAGACGGGTGCTTTTTGCAAATAGATTTTCTGTGAACCGGTCGTTGTGCCAATAACTTCGCCAGCCGATGTTGTGGTGTAAATCATTTGACCGGTGGTGCTGTTGTTGTTGTGGGTGATTGTGGCGGCTCCAATTGGCGTCAGGGTGGGTTGACGCATAATCGTTGTCGTTGTTGTATTGGAATTACTTGTTGTATTGGGAATATACTGAGCTATCACAGATGCACCGCCGCCAGCCGAAGAATTATTTGATGATGATGCTGCTGCCGCTGCATTCACAAGTTCCCCAGCTCGCTGTTGCATTAGAAGTTTTTGTTGCTGCTGTTGTTGTTGCAATTGTAGTTTACGCTGCTGCTGTTGTTGCAGTTGTATCTGATGCAACTGTTGTACGGTTACGTTGCGTATCTGTTGGGTGGTACCTTGTGGTTGTTGCACCACCTGTATCGTTGTCAGCTGATGTTGTTGTTGCTGCTGAGATGGTGAGGGCTGTTGCTGGTGTTGTTGTTGCATTTGTGTAACGGTAGCGGAGGAGTTAGTACTTGTGGCCTGCATTTGATTGTGTGGAGTGGTTGTAATGGTATCACCAGGATTTAGGGTAATCGTATTTCCAATTACTTGCAGCGGTGTTGAATGGGTTATCAAATGTGGTGGTTGTTGGCTGGACTGATGATGCTGTTGCTGTTGTTGTTGTTGTGGCTGAATCATTGGTTGGGCAATAACAATGGGTGTACCAGCATGTTGAACAACATCTTGCTGTGTATTTATACTCGAACAATTTGAAGAATCAACCGACGACGAAGCCATGACCAGGGCAGGAGTGGACGCTGTTATCTGCCGCTGTTGCGGTGTTAATCTCACAATCATATTATTCGGCACCACCGTCGGCTGTACGACTGGTACCAAACAACCAACTTTTGTTTCACTAACATCCATTGGTTCCGATTTAACAGCTACCTCCTCTTCTGGCACCGCACTGGACGTCTCGCCTTCTTCGTCACAAGGCTCCTTTTTAGGCTCTTCCAGCTTGAAGAAAGTCTCATCTTTTACAATGGCCTCTTCCAGTGGTGAGCAATTAAACGACGAACTGCCGACAGGTGTTAGAGCTGCACACGCCTTCTTGCCACCTTTACCGCGGGTATTTTTCTTGTTGTCACCACCAACAGACTTGTCACATTTCTTTGTGGCATCATCAATGCCTTCCAGCAAACCGGCTGCCGCTTCAACATCACCATCTACTTCGGTGTCAACATTTTCACCATCTAAAATACCATTCCAGAAATTGGTGGCCAATGTTTTGATGTCATCGATTTGCACCTCCTGCAGAATGTTGTCCAACATATCGGCATCGTCGCCATCACCCAGCAGATTTATGTCGTTCAGGGAGTCGCCACTGAAATTCAAATCCAGACAAGCACTGTTGTTGGCAGCCTCAGGACTTTTGCTACTGCCTCGTGTAATGTCGGACATAAAGGAGCTCTGCAGAAGCTGTGTATCGGCCTCCAGATCTTCGTATTTAAAAGCGGGGGTAATAAATGCTGAGCTTTCAAACTCATCGTTGTCCTTCCAAAGGCTGGATTCCTGTTTCACCAACTTACTGGCCTTTTTCAGGTCCCTTATTGGACTTAGCGATTCCCTGACCATTTCAACGGCAATGGGCGTTTGTTGAGACCAATCTACCAGCGGTGAGGTTAGTTTGTAATCCATATCCAATGACCAAAAATCTTCCTTTTCTGTTTCCGTGGGTGTTTTGGGTCTAAAATGCAACCAATCACGTCGTATTTCCGACAACAGTTCATTGCAAATATCCAAACGTTGCGAGGATGTGGGGGATAGTCCACCCAGCATTGTAACTTCATCCTCCGGCGATTGTTCTCGCTTTTGTTCGTTGATTGTTGCCACTTCTTCGATCAATACATTTACACCCTTCAATGGCTGGCCACTGCTGTTGGGTCTCAATGACCTTCGGCTTCTTCGGCTAAGATCACGTTGACGTATAACATCAGCCATTTGATTAAAGCAGGACACCTCATCGTCTTCACTTTCGGAAGCAAGTGGAGGGCCACCAGCGCCACCATTTCTGCCAAACATCTCGGCTCGATCATTCGAGTATTCAAAGATTACATCTTCCTCTTCCTTCTTGATCTTGATCAGATTACTTAGTTGGGCCAAATTGAGATTTTCTTCGTCTTCAACAATGTCAGCTGCTGCGGCCACCACAGAACCAGCATTCAGTTTTTGTATGCTGCTCAGTGGTTCGTTGGAATCATCGGCCGAGGCCAGTGAGGGTGCTGACGAATCCATCATTTCTTGTTTGATGGCTCTTGAGGTTGCAAGCAAATCACCAGGATTACATGAGGACGTTGATGCATTTTCTGAATCTGCATCCTGTATGATGATTTCGCGTTTTATCACATTCGTTTTGTCACTTATACTACAGCTATTACTTCTACTACCGTTGCTACTAATGTTCATATTAACATTGTTACTACTATTGTTGTTGTTGTGATTGTTGCTAATGCCAATAACTAGCGATGATGAATTGTTGTTGTTTGTCGTGGTGGTTGATGGCGAAGACCATGCTAATAATGAGGATGAGGTGGTGCTGGTGCTGATGCTATTGGAGGAAGTGTGTTGTAATTTATCCAGGACGGTGGCATTGGCTGCAGACGATGCACAACGATGATTGGGCCACGTCGTTGTCGTTGATCCATTTTCATCAACTGTTTTATTTAGGCCATTTACCTTATCATGTGTAATGGCCTCGTTTGCGGCTGCTGGTGCTGTTGCTGCTACATTGGTCGATGAGTTAACTAAATTATTTACACGTCCATTGACACTACCCACGACGCCATTATCCATCATCAGTGATTGAGACAATTTGTACAACAAACGTCGTTGTGCCGCTTCCATATTCTTTTGCTGCAAATGGGCATTATTCAATTTGCGCCGCTTCGAATTCTGTTCATTTTGCTGTTGTTGCTGCTGCTGCCTTCTTCTTCGCCGTCTTCGCCTTGCCATTGAGATACATGAATGATATAGCCTATCCCGTTGTATGTGTAAACCATGTTCATCTTCCAGTTCGTCATCGGAATATTCATATTCACAGCAATCACCATTGAGACCAATATCCGTATCATCGTCGTTACCATCCTCAACTCCATCATCACTTTTCGCCAGACGACGACCATTTGTGGTGGTTAGTGATGATGATGTTTTGGCGGGATCAAGATGATGCAGTAAATGATTATTGGTATCCATGATTTCTTGCTTAATTAGAGTGGCGGGTGTATTTGCATTATTTACATTAGTATTAGTAGTAGATGCTGTTGCTGCAAGGACTCCCGTTGGGGGTACCAAATCAACAACAGTTGGTGGTGAGGCGGGTTTTGTTGAAGAATCTTTTTTATTATTAGTTTTTGTCGTTGTTGTTGCTGCTGTTGTGTCGACAGAGGCGGTGGTGCAATCACTTGTTTTACTCTCCAATATTGTGTAGTCGAGTTGTGACCAAAAATCATCGAAATTCGATGCAACACGATCCAAGAGAATGCGACCACCACGACCCATGCGCCGCCGTGCAAAGCCAATACAACGTGGCCTACGGAGATGGAGAGAATTAAAACACAAATCAGCTTAATTTCTTAATGGTGTAAGCGTTTTGTTTAACTTACCTTGGATGTTTAATGGAGGCCAGGGTATAGCGATATTTAGTGTCACCAAAACCATATTCCTCCTTAGGCTCCCAAGGCCAATTGCCGGTATGGGCTCTTGACTAAAAGAACAATCGAAAAATTGGAATTAAAAAACGTTGATGGGGACATTAAATCGGACGTAAATATATATGGGAGCTATATCTAAATCTGAATAGATTCCCATAAAACTGGGCACTCGATTTTCACGAAACTTAACACACATCAGTCTAGACCCAATTCAGTACGCTTTGGTGCACCATTTACAGTAAATCGGACGAAAATATATATGGGAGATATATTGAAATTTGAACCAATTTTTCTCAATTTCAATAGGGTTCGTCCTTGGGTCAAATAAGTGAGATATGACAAATTTTATCCAAATCATATCATAAATGCGACCTGTACTTTGTTTACAAGAATACGGACGGACATGCGTAAATCGACTCAAAAAATGATTCTATTACAAACATATACACCAGGGCATAATACCCTGTACTACAGTGTGGTAATGGATATAAAAAGATGGTTCATAAACGGTAAAAGCGAACCCCAATGGAGTCCATCGAACCTTGTGGTAGCATTGAACCCCCAAAAATCACATTAATGGAAAAACCCTCTCTAACTTCATTGAAAGTGTTACCGAAACCAGAGATTCCAATTGAATTTGTTAGCCGGAAAACCCGGACTCAAAGCTACGTATAAGGAGCTTCGATCTGACAAGCTTTGAAAAGTACTGGAAATGGGAAAATTGTGGCACCGACTTCCCTCAAGTTCCCTCGGTTCGGTTCTAGACCGAATCCTATTGGATCCCCCATCGATCTTAATTAAAATACATACCCTCAAATAATCGCAGCCTTGTTTTCTTCTAAATGCAAATGGAGCCTCTTCTTCACTTTCCGAACCGATTTTGTGCGCTAAATCTTCCTCTTCGGTTTCGATGTTCGACTCATTTGGCGCAGGCGATGAACTTTGACGATGCAGGTGATGGTGCATATGATGCGGCAGATGATGTGGCAGACCCGATGTACTGCCCGGTATACCGGCCACACCTCCGCCAGCACCCAATGCAGCTCCTGTGGTACCCGATGTTGGTATAACACCCATCGTGGCTAAATACTGTTGTTGCTGCTGTTGTTGCTGGTGATTTAGTTGTTGTTTGTCACGCGGTATTTTATGTTTGCGTTTCTTATACTGTCGTTTCTCTTTGCGACTGCCAGCATTTAATGCATCTGTGCAGGGAGAATAAAAAAACATTTTTTTATTGAGCAAATTGCTGGCGATGCAAAAATTGATTCATTCATTAATTACCCATAGCTACATTCGCTGAATTCAGGTACTGCGGTGCTGATGAATACATATGACTGCTGCCCGATGTTGTTACATTGCCCGTTTGGCCCGCCGTCATTAATCCCGTAGAGGAACCCATAACATTATTTAAACCGGCTGCCGATGAACTGACACTTGGCACCACAGCCGTGGGTGTGGCTCCCGAAGATGATGAATGATGCGAGTATTGGTTAGCATACAGTGGGGCAAAGGCAGGTCTAAAAAAGAAAACAAGAAAATTAGAACACTTCTACAATTTGCCACACCGATTTGCAATACGAACCTTGAATTCTTGATCGTAGCACTGAGCTCTGAAAGTAAAGCTCCATTAAAGTCTTTGAGCTGTACACGTTTCTCAAAGATTTCTATGGACAAATGCACATGTTCACGCTTGGTTTTCTCACGCCTCTTGACCATTTCCAAAACCGTGGTGGCCCTTTGCAGATCACGCCTGGAATGGAATGCAAAGAAAATAGATAAATTATGTTGTCCTTCTTTGCTTTTTTTCAATGTCCTTATACTTGCCTTAACTTGAGCATCTTCTCATAGGAAGTCTCATCATTTTTACGATTCTTTCGCGTTTGCATTTTTTCAGTGCGTCGGCGAAATGCTAAGTACGGATTATTTGATGAGGCCCCCGGCCGATTCTCTGTCTTGACGGAGAGAATCAACGGATGTTGCTGTTTGGTTTTGAATATAAAAATGTGAAATTACAATGGGTAAAGGAGGCGTGTAGATAATAAGTGGAGACAAAGTTTTGTTTTTTGGTTTCAAAATTGTTATAATAGAAAACAACAACAAACAAAAAAGAATTATGCTAATAGTAGTAGTAGAAGAGAGAGTGGCATATATGAGGTGATCATATTTGTTTTTAGGGTTTTTCTTTACCATTTTCAGGCGCTTATTCAGCCAGTAGTCGTAGACGGCTATGCTGACCTCATCGTCCTGTTTGAGCAGCGCTTTTGCCTCATTCAATGTAACCACTGTCTGGCCTGAACTTTTCTCAAGACGATCCATCATTTGTTCAAATTTGAATGGCGTTAAATCTAAGCGTTTTCGTTGTTGTGTAACCCACACTTCATCTTCGCTATCCATATCGTATTCGGGTACATCTTGTTCCAAACCAAGTGCTAATGAAGAAATTAGAAATTCAAATTAGTTTCAAAATTAAAGTTCTTATAAAAACGGGAGAAAAAACTTACGCTGCATGTGAATCAATTGCCGTGGCATACGGTAATTGGGTGGATAATTTTTATCATAGAAATCTTGATCGGTGGTATAGACTTCTGGAGTCGGTATAATCAGACCTGTACATATTGCTCGTTGTAAATGATGTTCCTGTATGGAAACACAAAATTAAAAAATCATTATTAATAATTGAATTTACAAAATAAATATGAACTGTTAAAAATATGGGTATGTTTATTTTATAGTAAGAATAAATTAGTATTTTATTCCAAGGTTTATTCCCATCGAAATAAGTAAAATAAAGATCTAGCAGATGTTGAGTGAGCTGAGTGGGCAAAAGTCCTTGCAAAACTTCGGAAAAAATAGGTAAAAATCGAGTTAAAGAAACCTAAATTTGGGCTGTTTTATTGAGTCAAATTGAGCGTGTTAATGAATATGACTTATTTCGGAATATAATATCTAAGGATCCTAAATCTGTAGGTGGTATCAGGAAAAGAAATGACGCGTAAGCAATTTATTTATTGATTTTTTTTCGGCTGAGTGGAATTTCACTGTGATCTAGACGATCAGTATATCTAGTATATACAGCCATTTGAAAATCCAGAACCAGACAGGCTATGTTACAGCATCTTGCCGATTGGGTATTATATTGAGTTTTTAGGGCTTATCTACATTGCTTATTGATATCGAGACTATGGAAAGGAGATAGATGTAACCATTATCCCATTATTCTGAGAAAATTCCTTTATTTAGAAATGATCTGAAAATTAAAAAAAAAAACTTCGATCAAGGGCAGAGCAATAGACATCGCTTTACACGATGTAGGGATAGACCTAGTCCCACACCTGTTATGGCTTGTGATGTTTGATCAACTTCAAATGAAAGCAGTCGTGAATATTTTTTAAGGGCCAATGCAATGTCCAAAATTGGAATTAATTTATTAAAGAATATATTTGCTCGAAGCCCCAGCAGGCAGGGATTATTAAATATTTTTAAAAAGGGCCCAAGGGGTGGATTTATTACAGACTATTCTTTAAATGCATAAAAGAGGTGTGGATTTTTTAAATCCTACATATATCGCTGTAGGTACCATTGAGATATTTTAAACACCTCTGAACCAAATCACGAATAAAAAAGAAATATATGGTTGATTTCCTTAATATTCGACAGCTTTGATACACACTGGCGCCCAACATAAACATGTACATTTTCCAACTTTTTTGGTTTAGGGATATTTTTAAGTATTTATGGAATCGACGAATATACTCAAACCGAAATTTCCCATATTTCTGAAAATAAAATCCGACGCAGGAAATAACAAATTTGATGCGCCCAACTATGGTGCATTGTGGCGCCCAACATATTTTTTTTTTTAATTTCTGATAGACTATATTGGCACAAAAAAAAAATACATTTTTAGAAATACACTGAATGAAATTCGATTAAGAAAGACAAATTCCTTTACTTTCCTAACCTTTTACAGGTTTTAAACGTTTTGGCGCCCAACATATTTTTTAAGAATATTTTTTTAAATGCAGAAAAAAGCGTGGATTTTAAAAGAATATTTTAATTTTATTTTAAATGCTGAAAAAGGCATTGATTTGTTACAGAATATTTTTTCAAAGATTTTTTTCCAAAACATTCGAGTATATTTTAAAGAATAATTTTTTAACTTTGAGGAGATTTGAAATTGATACTCTAACAATATTCTTCGCAATATTTTCCATTAAATAATTAGCTTTGCCAAAACTCTGTCATGGTTAACCTAAAACACAAATTTTCTTTTCTTTTTTACTTTCAGCTTATCTTTTTCATATCTTCTATATTTTCAATTGTCTGGTACCCAGTATGACCAAAGGTCTATGCTTGAAAGAAGTTGATAAATAACATGTTGCTGAACATCCTTTAACTTAACCTCCTATCCCTATGGTGGAGTTTGGTCAGAAGGTTTTGATTTAACCTATGGTGGACGTTAAAATTGTCTTCCATATTACTTCAGTTTCCGCAGGATAAACATAATAGAACAAAGAGCTATGGATCTCCATGTTGGTCTGCCTTTTTAAATATTCATGATAGAGTATTGGAAACATTCCTAGAATGTTTGATATTGGAAATGGAATAAATCAGTTCAGGTTTTTATATAGGCCCCACTTAAATGTACCACCCTATTTTCGGTATTTTAATGATTTTTACTGCATTTTTTGCAGCAGAAAGGCATGTAATTTGACATTTCATGGAAAGCAAAGAAGACTCTTCGATTTTTTTTTCAATGTATGTCCATGTTTATACCCTTCACCACACTGTGGTACAGGGTATTATGTGTTTGTGCATATGTTTGTAAAAGGCAAAAGGAAACGACATTGTTCCTTTTGAGTAGATTTAAGCATGCCCGTCCGTCTCTCTGTCCATGTTAATTTGTCTATCCATGCTAATTTGTAAACAAAGTACAAATGAAATGTTGATATTGAGAAAAGTCGGTTCAGATTTAAATATAGCTTCCATATATATTTTCTGTAAATTGAGCGCCAAAATTCCAAAATTTCTTTCGATTTGCTAGAATGATGTGTGTTACGTTTCATGAAAATCGGTTCAGATTTAGATATAGCTCCCATATATATTTTCGTCCGATTCAATGTAAATGAAGCACCAAAGCCCCTATATATTATTGATTTGTACGAAATTTTAAATTCTAACCTAATTATTCCTGTTATAAGCTAGGAGGTTTCAATTTGCAGAGTATACGAAGTTCGAATGGATATATTACAGACATGGTCTGCAGATTTATAAACATAAAAACTATTCGAAAATTATAAGTTTTGTTGACTATTAAAGAATTATTCCCGAATGGATATACGAGCCAATATTGCAATTTCTAGCTTATACAGTAGAGGACATTCGTTTGAGCACATATGATGTTTTTGAGATTTTACTGTGAAAACACATTATTGTTATATATTTTTTTAAACAAAATGTTGAATTTATTTAAGGTGTCGAATATCAAATACAAACCAAAAACATTTTTCATACGTTTTTTGAAATAAGTAAATATAAGGTATATTTTGCCTTTTTTGTGAGGACATTCGTTTGAGCGCAGTTCATTAAAAAAATGGCGTAATAAAACAAACTTAGACTTAATAATGGATAATGGATGGATATGTCAGGAAGTATTTCAAAAAAGAAAAATTAAAAAAGTAATAAATTATTCATAGTTTTTGGACCCACTAAACATAGTCTATCAATTTGTGTTAAACAAATTAGAATGAACAATTTTATACAAATTAAAGGAAGAAGAACAAAAAACAAATACCAACAAAGTAGCAAATGTCAATTAAAACATTAAACAAAAACAAATTAATTCTAACAGTAAACTGAAAAAAGAAAGAAAAAATATTGTGTATATGAATATAGTCAACAAGTTGACCCAATTATCGTGTGACAATAACACCTAATAAAATCAGATAAGGCGGGTTTCATGTCTAAAATACACACTACCAAGAAAAAAGGAAGCAAAACACTTGAAGTAGTTTGAAAACAAAAATTAAAGTCTTTAAAGATAAAAAACCGCGACCCAGTCAGTCAGGCAGTCAATAACTCACTTCCAATTGAGGTTTAAAATATATAATTAATATTGTATATATTAAATTCAAAAATATTAATGTATTTCAAATCAAGTCCATTTTTATTCAAATTAATTCAACATGAATGTGTAGTGTAACCCCCTTTTTTCTGAGTTCTATAGATTTTTTTGTGTGTTTTGTTTTTATGAATTGATTAGAGAAATTGTAGAAAACTAGTTTATCGTTTATGTTCCGATTTAGTTTTTATCAGTATTTTTTATGCATTCTTTCAGTTTTGCAAAGGTTTTTTTGCCAACATTTTATGATCGCAATCAATTTGAGATTTTGATATAGTTTAAAAAAATATTCGAATAGAAGACAATGAATCATTCTAATAACTAAATACAAGACAAAATAAATTTTATTCATTTTTTTAAATTGTAAATCCCTAAATAAATATTAACAAAATCAAAAATCTATTATGTTGATTAATAAAATTGTAAAAAAGCTTTACCAATTCTCACAATTTAAATAAAAATCAAAAGGAAGGTAAGGAGATAAAAAAATCTAATCAAGTTGGATTTTAAATTCCATTAATAATCACCAATTTTTTCTTCTTCAATTTCCAAAAAAAAAAGAAAAAAAAACTATTGTTAATAATACAAAAATACTAATATATACAAATTAGTACACATTATTATTTATAAGCCAATATTTGTGTGATTGTAATTACATAGTTCGTTTTTTATTGATTGCTCATTATCTAGTGGACACATCAAGGGAGACAAATTAATTACTGATAATATTCGACGACTACGACATTAGGAATTTAGAAATTAAATGAAAACTAATAGATTTAAAATAAAGTTTTAAATATATGTAGTACATTTATACGCCCCTTATTTTATAAATAAAATTTAGATAACGCACGCACCTAATAATCGGTATTATGATTCACTTACATTTAGATAGGTAATTGGTGTTTGAAGATTAAAGAGCCAGAGATATTTGAAAATAGTTATCTCTTAGAGTGTACGCTAATGTATTCAATTATACGATACCAAGGTAAGACCGATTTTCTAGAAAGGAGTAAAGATAATTTTGGAGGAGATGATTTCCCATAAATCAATAATTTTTCGAAAATCACCTTTAGAATTATGAAATGCACAATCTATTCTAATAAAAGATAAAGTGATTGACTGACTTAACGATTCATCAACGCCCAGACGAAACGGCTGAAGCTCTCTTGGTCCAATGTAGTCAGATAATGCTGGATTTTTGGAAATTCGTACTAGAACGGTACGATAGAACCGGAAGAGTTAGAAAATGTAGAGCTAAAAATTTGAAATGAGGGTCATTGGAGTGTAGAATAGATGTAGCAAAGGATTTTTTGGAAATTTGGATTATAAGTATCCGAAAAGTACTATTTCGTATAATTTTGTAGCATGTGAATAAATAAGAGTTAAAAACTTGAAATTTGGAATGCGAATTAGGGTTGAGAAGTAGGGTCGATATAAAGAGATGGTTTTGAAAGCGTGTACTCATGTGTTCGAAAAGTTCTATATGGTACTATATTTGGTACAAATTTGACTT